CAATCACTTTCAGATTGATAATGTGTAGAACTCAATTCAGAGCAGTGGTGAAAGGTAAGGAAGTACAAAAGTAAAGATAAAAGTACAATACTTTAAATTTTTAGGTATCTGTACTTAACATTTTACATTTTACAGACGAAGAAGTAAAAGAGAGAAGTATCCACTTTTTTTTTTTTTACTCCACTACATTTGAGAGCATGTATCTGGACGTTCTACTCTATTACATTTTAGATCTGGACTGAAACGTAAAAAGTACTTTTGTTTAAGGTTTGAGACCTACTGAAATGGCTGGCTTTTATTTTTAACACTTTTTTTTTTTTTTTTTTTTTTTGAGTTACTGTCTCAACTTTCAACAAACCAAATACACAAAAACAGCTAGAAAACTTAAGAAATCAATTGAATCATTTCAAATCAGGCAAATTCTTTATAAAAGTCACTATATTTGATGTTTTAACTCTTCAAAAAATGTTACTGATACTTTTACTTGAGTATTTCTTTTGCCCCTGTATCTGTACTTTGACTTAAGTAACAAAATTGAGTACTTCGTTAACCACCGATTCAGGATGGCGCACAATCTGCTGCCAAGTACTGACAATTTAAGACAAAAACAATTTCAATAATTCAAAATGCTTTCAGATATATTTTGAAAGATATTATACGTATGGAGATAAATGATACTTTTGAACGAATGCCAGCGCCTCCTTATCTTTATGCTTTCTGCGCGTGGAGCTAATTGCCCTCTCTGGCACCCAATTACAGTTTTCTTATCATCCGCACTTGAGATAGCAATTTCCTTCTCAATGGGTCCCTAAGTCAATGAGAGCTAGCATACAGCCACCTTCAGCTAGCAGAAGAAGCTGTAATTATGATGACATATTGAGACACATGCGGCGTTACCTCCTCATGCTACTTTCAAATGCAAAAAAAGAAATCAAGTCAATCATTTTATGTTGGCAAACAGTGATCCAAGTAGATTTACAAGTTTCTGATCTGGAGCCAAAAGCGTCCAACGTTGAGCACAGTGAAGATGACATTTTAACACAGTTTAGCTGAGGGGCTGGAGGAGTCTCAGTTAAAGCCCGCTGTAAACTTTAGCTTCCATTAATCAATAGCGGTGGAAGCCTTTCAGTTAAAACTCAGGGGGAAAACATTAGTCGATGTAAGTCCTTTCTCAAGATCTGTTTGAGACTGTATTTTTCTCAGTGGTTCTACTCTTCCAGACTTCTTATAAAAACCTTGGCTAAGCTGTCAAATATACATTGATTAACTGATACGAAAAGGGAAAATTCCACCGGGGTCAAGCGAGGTTGGTGCTAATCGATACAAAAACTAGTATTGAAACTAGATGCTCATTTGGGCTGGTGTCAATACTTAGAAATAAAATAAAATGGGCAAAGTTCCTGAATAGTGTTAGAATGTATTCATCTATATCAGAAATAATATAAGACCATGTGGTAATATCAACCAAACTACAAATATTTAGAGTTAAAGAGGGTGTATTAGCCTAATTCATCAGCCGGTTTCACTTTGTGGAAACCGTCTGACCTCGGATAGCAAAGGGGAGGCAGACAAAAACTAAACTGAAACGTATTAAACCTGTTAATAAGTTGGTTTTGACGAATATAGTATTTTCTAAACAATAAAAGGGAGTATGGGTAATACCCCATTAAGGTTTCGAGTGTATGTCACAAAAGCGCGTGACCTGTTGTTTATGCCACCATATTGGAGGCCAAACTATCTGTCTGGACCAATGTGTAGTATTGAGTTTTCCACTTTCAGCGGCACAGAACCCCCCCCCCCCCCGGTCCTCACTTCCAGTGGCATGGAATCTCACCAGCCCCAGTCCTCAATTTCGCTGGAGTCTCCCCCTCAATCAATTTCCACCACCCGGAATAGCTGCGGTTCTGTTTTTGCCCCCCATTCTACTTACCCTGGCTGTTTTCAGGAACAGATGTGGTGGCTCGGTGATCAACAAAGATTTCACGCATCCCACTACAAAATATTTATAAGCTTCTAACCCCTTGTAACTTTTTAGTCCTTGGTAGGTGTAGGACGATGTAGAATGAATTAAGTAGTTATAAATAGATGGATATTGGAGGTTGGGCCCAGAGTGAGCGTCAAAATTAGGGATCTATTCCACAACCCAGGAGGATGACTTTAGCATTATATCTTTCTAATGACAGCTGATCTAACGAGCTGGCAATTTCGGACAGTTTTATGTTGTTTGCGCTGTTTAAAGTCGCCATGATTATATTGTAGTAACTGGATAACACCTTCCCGATCAACCCCAACACGCAAATCCTTAATAGAAGTCCAATACTCCCTCTTGAAAATTTCCCCTTTTTTAACATTGTAATATTGAAATCTTTATTGTGTTTCGACCTAGTATTAAAATGAAGCTTGAAATTTTAATATGGTGATAACAATGAATAAAAATGAATGACAATACTAGTACCATGGCTGAAGTCGTGAGCCGTGTAGACTTGGTTTGATCCTCTTGTAGTCCTGGTTTAGTTCTGGATTTGATTTTGTAGTGTTTGAGAAAGTGTGAACACAGCCTCAGAGAAACACAAGGACTTCTCTGTGTTAGAATATACATGCCAGCTCATGTTAGTATTCAGAAATGTTAGAAATAGGACAAATAGCAATTGAGAAACAGGGTTTGAGGACAAAATGGATTCGTAAGGAAACTATGGAGAGGCTGTTTTGCCAGGCTACTTATGAGACTTCCCCTTTCACCAAACAAAATTGTTAATTATACAGCGCTTTTCCATCTTCAAGGCACTCACTCGTATTACATCAAGGAACCACTCACTCATGTACACACACATTCATACACCAGTGTACACAGACACTGGGGGCGAGGTGAGTTGGCCAAGGACACAACAACAGTATTAATCTGTGGGAGCTGGAATCGCACTGCCAACCTGTGGATTAGTGGATAAACACTGTACCGACTGAGCTACTGTCGCCCACACTCCTCTTGATCTGGCTTTTTGTTTGTTAGCATGCCATCTGACATTTAAAAGTAGAGTCTATAATTGCTAAATATGTACAATTATTTAGAATTAAGGCAAATCTGTTTTAATGGCTCATAGTTACATACTCCAGCATTTCTTAACAGGGATAATGAGGTTAATCAAGGTCAGTGTACCGATTTTATACATAGCATTTTCTTCATATCTCTTAGCAACTGCAGTTTCCATGGGGATATAGAGAAATTTACCCTTTTGAGTAAATTATGGCAGAGTATATATATGAACTCACAGTAGTAGAGTACAGTGACTTTGATGGGTAGGCAAGCAGACTTGGGATGGACATCAATATTTAATCGATAATGATTTAATTATGCCACTTTTTATGCAGTGCAAAGTAGTATATTTATTTTTACTCATATTAATTGCATGTATAGTGAGACATTCTGGAGTCAAATTAGAGAAGCCTGGACCTACATAGTTTATGAATATTTGTATATGGGACTGTATTTAACACCCTCTTTGTACAAACAGGGCTATTTGTGGGCTTTTTATTTCTACTCCTATGCTTTATATCTTACACCTTAATTATTATAATACATCTAGAAACCATGACTGACATATGACAGCTCTACACATGTTTAATGCATTTACTACACAAATTCATGTGTACATGTACATTCATGAAGATCACGAAGAGATACTAACAACCACAGTGCACTGGTTAGACAGGTGCACTTATAATACAGCCTGATGTGTCACAAACACCCCCTTAAGCACAGCTCACACTCACCTCTCACAGATGCAAAACCACGTCTTTCCTGATGGAGTGTCCTGTATTTCCCTGAAGCAGAGCAGGACCAGAGCTGACAAATGTTCTTTTACATGTGTATAATAGTGCTGTTATTCCACTGATGCTGTCGCTCCTTCATAAACACACAGACAAGATGGGCTCTTCTCCAGTTGCTCTCAGTCCACTGCTCCATCTGGATCCTCCATTTCACACAAACTAGCATTGAAACTAGCCTCATAACTAGTTCACTGTTTGATAAAATGATGGCCTGTGTTTCTAACTAACATTTAATCACTACAAATACAAAGCTACAAACAGTTAGCCAGGCTGGCACCACTTAGTGCCTCTGCTCAATTTAATTTCTCTCCAGCGACTAGGTCAGGAATCAGAATACACTAGACGGTTTGCAAGAATCCCCGGAAGTGCGAGTTCAGGCACCAGCCCATCAGCGAAGAGCCATACATTCTGTGTTGGCAACGATTCCTGAGATCGAGGATTTAAAGCCAAAACAAAGAGAATGTTTGGTGAATTTTATCAAGGGGAAAGACATTATTTCCCTTCTTCCTACGGGATTTGGGAAAAGTTTAATATACCAGTTAGCTCCAATAGCATCGCATTACATGCATCACGACCAAATAGCAGCGATTGGTTAAATAAAAAAAAGTACCTGCCGAATGTCGAACGAACCAATTCTAATGCTGTGTTGTCAGACAGTTTCCAAAAAAGTGAAACCGGCTGATGACTTAGGCTAACAAACAATGACTTGTCACTAAAAGCAAAGTTATTTTTAGACACTTGTGTTGAAAGTTAGAGCTGCTGCTGTCGTCTCCTGCTGCACATGCGTACTTATTAGGAATCACCGCACAGCTCTGGTTGATGATATGGATTTATTCAGAGCTGTAGAAAGGCAAAACAACACAAGTTCATGGGTCATTCTGAACCGCAGTTGTTGCAGTTTGCTCAGTGACCAAAAGAGTGTAGTAAAGGGCACCTTGACTACAACCATGTTTCAAACAGACAGATGTGAAGCGAAAACAGATTATTTGGGTATATTTGAAACTATTTAATTTACTTTTCACATGCAGTGGTTTTAGATTTTATTGGGAAACAACTGCATGCCTGTAGATAAAAGGTTTAATACCATACCGTGAAACATTCTAGACAAAGCAATAACATCTCCACCTTTAAAGCTTTGAGTTTATTTAACATTTCTGTTCTTTTTTGCTCTACAGAATGGAGAGGCATCACTGTTTGAGGTGAACATCCGGTACGTGGGTGGCTTGCTTTCGGCGTATTACCTGACAGGAGAAGAGGTAAGATTTATACGCATCTATACAGCTTCTACGACTCTGCTTCTCTGGGCTGCTCCTTTATATTGGGCTAACCTTGGAAATGACTTGATGAACTGGTGGGCTGAAGGAGAGTCTAGGTTAAGTGCTTGACCCTGGAGATGCTTCCCTTACTAAATCACGGGAGATATAGTAGTAGTATTGTGTAGTAAAACCTCAATCAGGCTCTTCCACAGACTCTTTTACCTCTGTTTATCTACTGTTTTTACTGCACGAGCCACTACTTAAGGCTGAACTGTGTAACTTTTCTGGCGGAGAGTCTGTCAAATGCTTTTCGGTGTGGAGATGTTATTGCTTGGTGGAAGTGCAACTGAACGATTCCACAGAAATACACAGTGTTAAAATATATTGGAACATTCTTTTCAAGTTAACACCTACCTTTTACCTTTAGTTCTGTAGGGCAATTCGAGGGCTGAGAGAACTCCTAAGCATAAACAAAATGAAACAAAACATAACTCTGAGTATGTTTGTGATGAACAGAGATCAGAAAATAGTGTAATACGGGCCCTTTAAGCGTATTAAAAGTGTAGCTATTATAAAGTGTAACCTAGAAGTTAATAGTGCATAATTATAACAACTGCTTTTTTTTTTATACCCCACTGCGCTGCGTTATGTAATCCAATAGAAAGAAATTCATTATATTTGTCGAGATTCATTCTATGTCAAGTCATAACATTTCCCAAACAAACTTGACTGGATTTAGCCAAGTCGTTTTGATTGCTGATTACACAAAACAATACCCCATTGTTTTAGCAAAATGAGATGACAATGGCTTTTGTTTGAGCGAGCCACGGGGGCCAAACAGCTCAACAGGATCTGAGTGAAAAACTGAAGTTAAAGGGCCCATATTACCCTATTTTCTGATTTATGTTACAGTGTTGTTTCCTCTTCACAAACGTACTTCACAAACATTATTCTCTCAAACTCTGAAACACTCTGTTCCATCTGATCATCTGAACACGGATGTGATAGTTACATCGAGATATGATATTACAGTTCATGTCTGTCAGTTTATTTTATTTATTTTACTTAGTGGAAAAACTTTACATCGGGGGCCATCAAAGGTCTATTAGTACAATTAAATGCCGAGCAAACCGTGACGAACTGTAAACAAACCTATATCGCTATATTTTAAGACTAATAGAACAAATAAACAACAACAACCTGAAAAAAAATGGTCTAACAAGTTAAAATTGTTAGCTGCACTCCTTGACGAACAATCAGTCAACACAGTTAAATCCACAAACCAAATGGCAGGGGTTCATTGATAGTTTATTAAATGCCTCAATCCACTTGTTAAAAGCTCGGAAAAGTCGTGCTGTTTTTGGATAAATGGATCCAATTCAAACCTGCCAAACAGGGTAACCCCCAATGGGCAGGACAGTGGGAAGGGGACTTACTTAGTAACGAAACGCACTAGCTGTCAATCAAACCTGTTGCTAACGCTAGAAGAGCGACCTCAGGGAATGAAGGCATCTGATTGGTCCGTTATTTATGTTCATATCTTGATTTAGGGACAAAATAGTTAAATGAAAAATTCAGGATCATGTAGAGTAGGTTAGTACAAACATTTTAAGACCAAAATTTCGAGGCTCACTGCAGTAGATACAGAGAGAGGAACGACAATTTTCAATGTAAAGTCAATTAGAGCCAGAGTCGATGGAGCTAAGTGTGCCCATGAACACTTCCTATTTGGAACGTGGCAGCTAGTGGGTTAGCTATTGTTACGGCCCCAGGCCTTGGATTGTCATTTGTTCTGTGTGTTCTAAATAAGTTTGCTGACACACCTGGATTCCTGCTGTGGGAGCCCTCGTTTGTGATTGGTGGGGCAGGTCGACGCCCACCTCACCTGCAGCCACCGCCCCCTATTTAAGGAGATTGCCAGCACCTGTTCGGGGCTGCTGGCCTTGGTGGCCAGTCTGCCATTTTGGTTTCGTGTGTGTGTAGTTTAGTTTAGTTCTGTTTTGTGTCTTTTTTGATTTGGTCACTCGATTCTGTTTGTGGGTTTATGTGGTTTAATTTGGGGAACTTGTGTTTTAGTTTAGTGTGTGTCCCTAAGTTTTACCACTCCTTTTTTTGTAAGCCTGCGTGACCCCTTTTGTGGCACAAAACTCTGTTTATTCTGTTGTTCTGTTTCTTAGTTTAGGTTGCTTTCTGTATATTTTTAGTCTTTTGTTAATTTACCTTTACATTCCTGTTAATTAAACATTATTTAATTTATTCCATTTTACATCTAGGTTTTATTTTTGTTACTTCCCTCACCCCAAACGAGCTGGGTCGTAACAGCTATGTCCATTTATATGTACAGTCTATAGTTCCACCTTCTGATGACATGTGCTCCACTATGTTTTTAAACTCCACACACCTTCACTAGAATAATTTTGATAATTTCAGCCCTGGAATTGACAGTCTCTTTTGAACTAAAGGTAAAAGGAGCTGTTAACTTGAAAACTACCACTTCATGACATGACAAGGTGGAACAGAGCATTTTGAGCTTTGGAAATGAAGACCAACTAATGTGAACGGAACAAAGCGCTACTCCAGGTATGTTTCTGATGAGGCAACAATATTATAAAACGGCTTAAAGTCAAGTCAATTTAGCATAATATACAGTCAGCTTTTCTTCATGGAGATATTATTGTTTTGTCTGGAATGTTTCACATTGTGGCATTAAACTTTTCAATTATCATGGAGGTCAAACCAGGCCAACTTACAGGTTAGATCTGAAGAGTGACAACCCTGTTCAGAATGCTTGCTTTTCGAGGTGTTTTGAGCAATAAAACCATCTGTTATTGAACAAAATGTAAGGTTGATTTGTTTAATGTCATACTGTGGAACATTCCAGGCAGAACAATGACATTTCCGTAGAAACATGAAGGTGACGAACCCACTACTAAAAAGTTACAAGGTGCACCTTGTAATGTACGAGCTTTTGGACAAAATTCTCTCACTGCTTTATGATATGATACCAGCCCATCACAAAACGATGTTATAATGTGTCAGAGATGGAGAGGCAGCAGAAGGTAATGTCTTTTAAATGTGATAAAAGAACGCGTCGTCGTGAGAACAGTCTCTGTGGCGATGTCCTTGAAAGGGCCTCAGTCTCTCCAGTGAAGCATCTCTGTGTTATGGTGTAAAAGCTTGTGGTTAGGATGGACAGCTGCCAGGTGCGAAGCTGTGAATCTGCACCGCTGTGAAGACAATACAGGTCGGACCTCTTATAATTGCACTTTTTGCTCACTTTGGGATTTTTTTCTTTGCACTACAAAAAATAATAAAGAAAAAAGAAAAGTAAGCTTTTGAATATGGCGACTACAGATGAGGAAAGAATAACAATGCAGTATCAGTTTAGCAATGTGTGATTAGCATGACATCTGGAGTAGGGCCCGACCGATATGGATTTTTTTGCGGCCGATATGATACCAACAAAATGGGAGTTGGAGGTGCCGATAGCAGATATAAAAGTTGATATATTTAGTGATGCAAAAATTCACTGTAAATCTTCAGTTGATTATACAATTACGGTCTGGCTCTACTGGATTTTAAATAGGGTTTGTTTAGGTTACATTTATTGTTATTCTGCCTCTTTACAGGCATATTTAAAGACAGTAGGTTGGCCTCATAGCATTTTTGCATGACATTAAAGAAAGTAAGTAAACTAATCACTATTAGCCTTTAAAGGTAAATATGTGCGCACCGCGGTAATTAATTATATGTAAATTAATAATGTAAATGCCGATCTTTCACAGCTCATTTACATATCAGTGCAAGTTCAGTAAAGTGTGTGCAGCAACTACAGTCACTTTACACTAGGCCAATGTCAGAGAAAACAGGCTGTTTATGTGTGGGAGCTACAGTAGCTCAGAGCTAACCAATGAGAAAGAACCAAGTAGCTCCAAAACCAACACATCTGCAACACTCACCGCTCATGCAGGCTCCTCTAAGATCACAAGTCTTTACAAATAAGTGTCTCTTTAATCCTGACTCAAAACAATCATTCATAAAAAGAATATAATCCAACATGTTGACAGCAAGTGCGTGTGTCCTCTATAGGGGACAGTCCTCTCTTCTTCGCATTCTCACTTTGATAAAAACAACCAGTAGTTTTGTTGTTGGCCTAAACTGCGCTGAAGTTCACTTTTATTTACAGTCAGTATCGTGGCTCAGACACAAGAGCATTTAAAGCCAACGCCTCAGTGTTGCGCAGATGGATCTATGCCTGCACACGGGTGTAAACAAGTTCATGTGAGTTACGTGACTCTGGGGATGCATTCAGGAGCAGTCCGGCCTTAGAGACACAGACAGATTACTCCACAGATAAATATTGATGCAGAGCCACATACTAGGACATTTATCTGTGTGTAAATTGGATTAAATATACATAATATAGAGAGTCTAAGCTTAATAAGTAGATATAACATGTCCACATGAATCAGCCCACATCGGCAAGATTTAGGCCGATAACCGATATGTCTCCAAGTGCCCATAATTGATATATCAGTTGGGCCCTATTCTGAAGGTTACCTAAATTCACAGTAATCTTTTATTGTGTATTATTTTTATTGTGTATTATTATTTTATTTTCTTAATTATGAACCAGATACTCATAGTTCTTAATAAAGATTGAATTGTATCAGTCCTCAGTAGAGAAACCTTCATTGATCACATTTAATATTGTGTACTGCGTAAATTGTGTTTGTTAATTTAGTATGATTTTTGTGTGTTTTCCTAGTTAAGGATTTACTTTTATTTAAAACCACCTGACTTGCATGTTCGTTTTATGTTACTTGAGAAAGAAATCCTACCCTGTTAAACCATAATAATGCAAAATAGTTAAACAAATAACATTAGGAAGTGCAGTTGACAGATTTAAGGTCAGCTCTCCCAGGAGTGTATAGCGATGTCACAGGAGGTCACTATAATGAGCCTGTGCCTGCAGCAGCTCCGGAGGCACACACACTGTA